GTTCGCTAATCGCTGTTAGGAAAAGTTGAAAAATATTATTGTTTGTATTTCGTATAATTCTAACTTTTTAATGTTAATTTTATTTTACTGAAACTGAGGCCTCTTATGACGAAAAGGAACTATTTAAAAGTTAAAAGCGTTCGAAGAGGATTAAAAAGACAACAACAAATTATATATTTTAATTATTTTAATTATTTAATTATTTAGAATTGTTTTGCTGTAATAAATTAAGCTAAGTTTAAAGCAACCGGATTTTATTACACTGTAAATAAAGTTGTGTTCAAATTTTCCTGAACAATTGTATATGATTTTTTGAACTTATTTGCATTTTCTACCAATTTGTGTTCCTCAAACACAATTTTCACAATTTTATTTGAACAAAATTACCACTTAAGCGGCTGGAATTTAATATTTATTGAAATGTACAGCATTCTGGCAGCAAAAATTGCAAATTTGCATAGAAATAATCCGCTTAACTCCATTTCAATTATTTAAACCTATTCAAACCGCAAAACGAGCTCATTACACGCGTGCAAATACATCTTTTATGAGCGGCTGCGGTGCTCAAATTGAACAAAATATTGAGCGCACAGCGTGACTTTCTGCCACTAAAAAGCTTTTTATGCGTTGCGAGAAGGACAATTTGGTTTAAAAATACGATTGTCCTCATATATCATGTGCGCTTCATTTGCTCTGTTATTTCAATAGTTTTATATATTTCTGTATTTTTAAAGGTATATAAATTAAAAAAAAAACCAAATAAATTTATATAATTTTTTTAATAAAAATTTAGTTTTAACGTAAAAAGGAAATTCACTAAAATTTATTAAATTTTTACTATTTAAATAGTAAAAACTTTAATATATATATAAAATATATTTATTTTGGTCATAAACATATATAAATATATATTTATAAATATATATAAACAAATAAAAAAATCTCATAAATACTTTTGTAAGTTTTCTACAAATATTTGTCCTGAGATATTTGAGCCTCTGTGGATTGCAATAGCAAGGATAACTTTGCACCATTGAGTTTAGCACATCATTTCATAATATTCGCAATATTTTTAATTTGCTTGTGCGGAAGTTCCTGTGCTCATTTTCTAAATCAAACCGCCATTTGTCTGCAATGGCGTACGCTTTAAACGACCTTCAAATGAAAAGCTCCATTTTTATTTGATTATTCCTCGTTTTGTTTCTTTCGTTTCAATTTAATTTTATTACATTTTAAGGATCACATTTTACAAAAGATTCATTGTTTGGCTTCAATTTTGCTGCAATTACTGAATTCAAAGATTTTTTTTTGTCTTTTGCTGATGTGAGTTTTTCTGCTTTCTTATTTACTTTTGTGAACTCAATTTTCAAGTTGAAAATTGCTGAATTACAGTACGGAGATCCGTTAGAGCGGTACTAGATATGTTGGCATATATGGTATAGAATATCTCTTTCAATATACCATAGTAACAAAATGAGGCATTTAGTTAAAATCCTAAATAAAAGCTTCATGAAGACGAATTAAGTAAACTAAAAGCGATCATCTAATTAAGGATTAGTAGTTTGAACAGTAACAATATTGATTTAAACTATAAGCTAATAAAAAGATCAAGTTTTTTGTTTGGAAAAGATGTAAATACAGTGATCCCACCTATAAGACGATACCCTTATAACGCGTTTTTATATTACGCGAATTCATTCTCCCATAAAACACCGGCATTCCCCCATATAACGCGAGGATTTGTACAGTTCATAATTAGAGTCGCGTACCTTTGCACGTGTGTATACGGGGCATATAGAAATACCCCTATAACGCGTTTTCCTATAACACGGAACCAATCTACTACGTTATATGGGGGATTACTATACTATTATCAAACATTTGCAAACCTTGCACAATGTGGCAAATTTGATTCAGAATGCTCATAACACATTAGAAATTCATACTTCTTATATATTTATAAAAATGTGTATATATATTTATATAAAAAAATATTATATATAAAAACAAAATATAAAAATATATTTTTATAAATGTATTATTAAAAATCTATACATTCTTTTGCTATGTTTAGATCATGTGTACAATTTTACATACAAAAATCTGTTGAAAATGTATATAAAAATCAGCTAAAGAGGTTCTATAAGTCTAAGTGAAAACCTATAATTAGATAAATAGCTTAGGGTCCTTATTGATTTTCTTAAAAGTTTAAGAGCATAATAACGAAACGTTATGTGGCCTAACAATTAAGAATGAAAACGTGATAAAGGCAGTATAATACACAGACCCATGTAGTTTAAACCCATAAAAGACGAAATTTGACTTCAAAGAAGATTAAAATCAAAATTAATATCGGCCACAAAGAACGGGATATGCAACGTAATTAAAAAATATATTATATATATTTAACTTAATAACTATTGGTTTTATATAAGCATGAACTTAAACATAGATAACCCATAAATGAATTTAATGAGCTTTTTATCGTTGCCTTTGCTTTTTAACTAATGCATGTCAGATTATAGAAGTTTGATAAGAATATAGATAGTATGTTTTAATTTAAATTATTGGTTTACAGATTTAGAGATAAAAAATTTTGTATTAGATTGGCTGGTTAGATTTTCAGTGATTTTTTTTATTAGCAAGATCTTATTTTAACTTCTTATTTGACTGTTTAAAACAATTTGACTGTATAAACAATTTGGCTGGATTCAACTATCCTAAAACCAGCAAAAGAATATAACTGTCTAAAATTTCTAACATATAAAATTAAAATTAAAAATGGAAACTCAACAACTATTTAAAATAAGAGAATTTTTTATCCTGAACTCCCAGTTGGAAGTACAGATAAAAAAAAGTTAAATCGATTTTGTTTTCATTTATAGTTTTCAAATATTCATAATCTGAAGTTTTTCGTCATTCACTCTATAGTTATATGCTATAAGCTTATTCTGCTAAAGCTGTAAAAATATACTTTAAATTAGATAATTTTTCTTTTCTTTTCGAGCTTAAGTTATATATCTTACAGAATTCATAATTCCTATTTCTCTAGTCTGTTAAATTCACTAAATCATGATCTAAGATGCCTCGTTTTTCTTGGATCATCTATAATTTATTTATTATTTGAAAGTTTATATAGGAAATTTGTATTATGATATGTAGAAACCTGTTAGTATTTTAATTTAGTAATCAGTTTAATTAAAAGAAGTAATACAAGCAGTTAATATTGCAGTCTCTTAGAAGTTTATTTTTATATCCAAAAAAGAAAAAATTGTTACATAATTATATAAATTTATATATATTAATTTATAGATAGTATGTATATTCTAGATCAGCTGTACAATTCTTTCTGCGATTCTTTGTTTTTAACCACTTTAAAAGAAACTTTGCGCACATATTTTTCGGAAGTGAACATTGTGGAATTCGCAAACATCCGACCATTATATCCAATAATATATATGATGTAGTGTTCTATATATAGAATATAATTAAACAAATGGATGTATGTTTTTATATTTTTCTAGAAAATTTGGTGAAGACAGTATGTATATTCATATAAAATTATGTACATTTTATTTATATCGGTTCAGATTAAGTTATAGTTAATATAAAATCTGTAGATTCATACACACGTTTTTGTTGAAAAAATGTTTTTATTTTTAGATGGTCTATAGAATGCTTGCATGTAAACCTGAAATTAAAGAATATATTTTTCTTTGAAGAAGTTTATTTTATTTTGTAATGTATTTTGTAATATTTAAAATTTACTTGATACACTAGATTTTTTTTTTTTTCAATATTATATGCATTCCCATTCAAAACCAAACTTTACTCCAACTTAAAAAGCTTGCAATATAAGGGTGAACAAAAAATATGTAACAGCTCTTATTAGTATTATTTTATTATATATTACATTTATAGTATTATGTACTAGGACTATATGAAAGTAGTCCATCATCATGTAGAGTCGAAATTCTCTGTAAATGGCACCTAAGTTTAGGAAAAGTCAAAGCTAACAACTTTATACGTTTTAATTAGTAATGTTAAATGTTTAAATGTTTAAATTCGTAATCTGCTTAAGCCATTGAAACCGTTTGTAGCGCAATACAACATTTTCCATTTATATTGTTTTGAATATTTATGCTTTTATATCCAATATTTGCTTTAAGGTTTTATTTTCATTTTCATTCGAAAGCCATTGAAAATTGATGCCGAAATGCAAATTCAATTCTACTTTCTTAATGCCAATTGTTGACATTTTTACCTCTGCTGCTTCC